ATTTCTAGATTCAACTAAATTTTGCTATATAGTTGTATTTGTAAACAAATTGTTCCAGATTTATAATCAGTAGATCATATTTCTAAAAGTTAGAGAGAACGTTAATTAACTTATGACATGGTGATGCATTCATATTTTAGCATACATTTTCTTTAGCTTTTATAGTCATTAGACTTTTATTTTGCATATTTCTCGTCATTTTGAGTCTCATATAAAATAGGTTGTGTCTTACAGTCTTAGATTGCTTTTTATGCATTTGCATAGTCTTTGAGTCCCTTTTAGATACTTTAGAGGCTAAAAAGCAAAAAGAGCCAAAATGGAATGAAGAAGGATGCAAAAATGGACCAAGTAAGCTTCCGCCGACCTCAACCGCCGGGCATGAAAATACAACACCAACTCGGTCGGTGGGTTGAGCCACCGACCTCTAATAGAGCCTCTCTTAAACCGATCCAGATCCGCTTAAACCCATCGAGTTGAGCGGCCGACCCTGCATCAACCTTTCTCCAATTCGGCCACGTTATTTTCTACTCTTTTTTTAGTTGGATCCGACCCAAGTGTTCCGGATCGACCCGGACATGGTAATGTTGATTCTATATCTTTTTACACATAATAAAATATCTCAAAATAGAAAAGTACTACGAGATTTATTGGTGAATTCGTTAATCGAAATGTTCACATAAAACAAATACAATATTAATTAAGTTGAAATAAGAAGTTCAAAATCATAAAACCAAAAAAAAAACAAATCCCAAACTACAGTTTGAATCCAAATTAAACAATAACCAAACCCAGAAAAACGTAATAAATTAATGAAAATTCGTATGTTCTAGAAAATCATGATTCACATCAAACTGATAATTTATATGTTCGAGAAAACCATAATGCACATCAAATTCATATGTTTTGATATTAATTTTTTATTGTCCCATTAACATTTACTAAATTAAAAATGATGATATTTTTATTATTATGAAATATTTATAAGTCTGGTTTTTTATGGTATTTTGGTAATTTTCATTATGAAAAATTTAGTTTTCAAAATTTTCAAAACATGGGTTACTTTTCAAAATACATAAAATTCAAAGAATATTTTTACAAATTTCCTATTAATAAAATGAGGTTAAACAAAAAAGAAAAAATGGAGAGCGAAGGCGATTTGGGTAAGCAAGGGCCGGTGGAACAGGATGTTACT